AAGATTTTTTTTATATTATTATTATTAATATTAGTTTTAATTAAATTATTTTATTTCCATCATCATCATGAGCAAAAGTTAATGTAACGTATTCATCGATAAATATTTTTTTTCTACGCGAAGATTTTTTCACTTCTGCCACGACGCCTCACTTTTCCGTAAAAAATTGTTCCGTTAATTCATCAAATTACAAAACCTTTTAGAAAATAATAATAATAATAAATTTTAAATTACCGTTAAAAAAATAATTTTAAATTATCCGGTTTCGACGAATGATGACGATGACGATGATAATAATAATAAAAGCTCCACGAGCGTAATAATAATAATTATAAAAAATTTTTTAAATTAAAAAAAAAATCGAAAATTGCGTCGATACGGATTTAGTAATTTACGCAAATCAAAGTTAAAGGAAATTATTAAAAAAAAAAAAAAAAAAAAAACTTTAACTGAAGCCATTAATTAACAGGAAAACGTGTTGATAATAATAATAATAATGATAAATAAATAAAAAAAAATTAGAATAAGAAAAAAAAATGAATGATTTCGTGTTATTCGTTCGTTTATTAACTAAAAACCTTGGACTATCTCAATGTGAGTGAGAGAGAGAGAGAGAGAGAGAGAGAAACCCTGGTCAGAACAACACATAATAATAATAATAATATATATCCATAATGTCGGTCTAGACGAATAAGAAGAAGAAGAAGTTTTTTAACACAATCGGATGTTGATTGTTTTGTGAGGAGTTGTTCTCTCCCCTCGTGACGTTTGTTTTGCTACCATTAGTTAGTTACACGGTGTGTTCTTCGAATTGAGTTGTAGTTCTTGACTTAATACGCGCGTACGAATTAAAAAAAAAAAAAAAATTAAATAAATAAATAAATGAGAAAAAGAGGAAAGTTGTGAACTTGTAACATGAGTTCACACTTTTTAATCAGCATCGATTACTAAAGAATTGATTAGTTGGCACCTGAATTATTTTGATTTACGTTTTTTTTTTTTTTTACTGTGTTTGTTTGGTTTAAAAATAAAAGACGGTTAGTTTTACAATTTATTATTAACGGATAATTCGACCGGTAAATAACTACTACTACTAATAGTATTTTTAAATAAATAAAATTTTTTTTTCCGAAAAAATTTAAAAGGAAAAAAAATAAAAAACAATTTGCGTGCGGGTTTTTGTGAATTTTTTTTTGTTTATCGCAGGTAAAAAATTTATTTATTTATTTATTACTTAAGTTTGTTTGTTAATAAGTTAATAAATAATAATATCGATAAATAATTATTTTTTTTAAATTTTATATCGAGGGAATTTTTATTCGACGATAAAAAATTTTATGAAAATTTTTTCCAACGATCGAAGGATTTTATTTTATTTAAATTAAATTTTATTTAATTCGATGATTATTCGTCGTTTTTAAACTGATAAAATAAAAGAATTGGAAACAAACTTAAAAAAAAATTTTTTTGTTCTAGAAAGAAAGAAAGAAACAACGATTTCAAATTTGTTTTAAAAAAAAAAAAAAAGTTTTCTTTTCTTTTTTTATTTTAAAATTTATTTAATCGAGCATTTAATTAAGATTTTTTTGTTTTCGTTTTGTTTTGTTTTAAAGTGATCAACAATAAATTTTTTTTTTAAAAAAAAAACGAAAAAAGGAAATAATAATACTAACAATTAATTAATTAGTTAATTAATTTTTTTTTAATTTAAAAAGAAAAAAAAAGAAAAGAAAAGCGTCGTCGTCGTCATTTAAAAAAAAAAAAATTTAACTTTTGTTATTCAATTTGCATTACTTATTGTCAATGCGTGTTAGTGTTACGTTTTTAAGGCGTAATTTTTTTTTTTTTTTTTTAACGGTTTAATTCGAATAATTATTACGGGTTAATGAAAAATTGAAAAATGTGTTTTTTATAAGAAAGAGATAGAGAGAGAGAGTAAAATTTAAAATTTTGTTTGCTATCTTTAGTACATTTATTTATTTATTTTGTTCCAGAAAAATTTATTAAATATGCGTCCATTGAATTTTTCAATATTGGTATGTGGGGTACTCATGATGTGCTTAACTATGGGTTGTGCCAAACTAAGCAAATATTGCTCCCTTTGTGAAAATCATACAATGTGCAAATATCACGTAAGCTAAAGCTAGATTTTCTTTCGTTACGTATCACCGTAATTATTTATTAATTAATTTTAAATAAATAAAAAAATTAATAAAAACAGGGACCGGGACCGAATTGCGAAAAAATCGGCGGGTACGGAGTAACTCATTCGGAAAAAAAACAAATATTAGATCTTCATAATTGGTATCGTAAAATCGTAGCGAATGGTTATGAAAAATCAGGATCTGGAGGATCTCAACCAAAAGCAGCAGACATGATGAAATTGGTAACGTTTAAAATTGAATTTTTTTTTTTTAAAAAAAAAGAAAATTTTCACGATTGGTTTTCAATTTTTTTTTTTAGCAATGGGATGATGATTTAGCCGAAGTAGCACAAAGATGGGCCGATCAATGTCGTTTAGAACACGATACCTGCAGAGCAGATCGTAAATTTTTTTCATTTTCGAAACGATTTAGAAAAAAACAACAGAAATATAATTTTTTTCTTTTTTTTTCCAGCGAGATGGAAGGTTGGACAAAACATTTACTGGAAATGGAAATATCCGACTCATAACGTTAATTGGACCGAAGCCATTGCATCATGGTACGACGAAGTTTCTTTGTTTAATCCAAATGAAGTTCGATCGTACAGGTACGTAAAAAAAAAAAAACAAATTAATATTCATTTTCGTCTCTTTTATATTATTCATAACGTTATTAATTTTAACAAACAAACAAACAGATTCGATTCAAAAACGGGTCACTACAGTCAATTGGTATGGCATGATACTCATTTTGTCGGTTGCGGTAGAAGAGATTACGGATTAAATAAATTGTACGTATGTAATTACGGTCCGACTGGAAATTGGATAAACGAACCTGTTTATACGGTCGGAGAACCTTGTTCGAAATGCCCTCAAGGATGTTCATGCGATGAATACCTTTGTGGTAAGTTTTTGTAAAAAAAAAAAAAAAACAAAAACCGAAAAATATGTGTGTTGTTTAAGAAAAAAGATTAATACCTTGACTTTGCAGTATTTTCTCCGTACAGATTCTCTTCATTTTTCACTAATAGGTTTTCGTAACAAGAGCGACCTAGAAAACCTAACGACGAATAATAATAATTATCTCCGAAAGGATATTCAAAACAATATATCAGCGATAAATGAAAATTCTCTCGTCGATAGTATTAGTTTTATTAATAATGATGGCGTCAAATTCGAACAGTTAAGATTTAAACATAAAAAGAGTAAATATTTTGTCGTTTAAATAAATATTCACCAACATAGCACAACATAGTTTATAGCACAACATAGCATTCATTCAACTGCACAATTTAATGGGGGGGTGGGGTGGTGAAGAAGGGAAACAAAAAAAAAGTTTAATAATAATTAATTTCACACGTCGCCGATTCATAATAATATTAAAATGGCATCTACTAAAAAAAATAATCACTACTAATGACACGACGTTTTTTTTTTTTTTATCTCTAACAAAATTTTTACAGGGTGTTATTATAATTCATCCACGATATCTGCTTCCACGTCAATTTTTTTTTTTTTTTTTACGAATAGGCATCATAACAAAAACAACAACAACAACAACATCATAACAGTGGGCATTTGGAAAATAGTAGCATTTGAAAATCATTCGCATTTATAATAATAATAATAATAATAATAATAATAGTAATAATAATTTTATTAATGAAATTAATTTCCGGTTTTACTTTTTTTTTCTAGAAAAATTAGACCCGCGGAAAAATAAAACGGATAAAAATGATGATGCCATTATGGAAGACGCAGAGATAAAGGACGATTTGGATGACATCAAGTCGAAAATAGAAAAATTATTAAAAAAAGTTATAAAAAAAGCAAAAAATCATAAAGATTGATACTAATTATTATCATTATTATCTATCGAATTTAAAATTATCATTATTACTATTATTATTTATTATTATTATTATTAATTTAATTTAATCGTAGAATTTTTTTTTTTTTTTTGTTTTTACGGTTGTTGTTTTTCGAACAACGTTTATCCTACTATTATTATTATTATTATTATTATTATTATTATCGTTGTTGTTAAATTTTTCATTATTATTATTATTATTATTATTATTATTATTATTGTTATTGTTATTATTATTAATTATTTATTTATCGAATGAATTTAAAAGATATGATAAATTTTTTTGATTTCCGGTAGGAATTAAATTTTTTATTTTCCTGCTGCTGCTGCTACTGATGTTGCTGCCGCTTCTTATTTTGCGGCTGCTACAACTTTTTTTTTTTGGCTAACGATTTTCAAATTTTGTTGTTATCAAAAAAAAAAGAGAAAAAAATTGTAAACGTAAATAATAAAAATAAATTGATTTAAACAAAAATTAACAAAAAAAAAAGAAAATTTTTTTTGTTTTTCCGCCATCGTAAAACGAAATCCTTACAAAAATTTTATTTGTACCCGAAGTTAATTAAGAAAATTTAATTGTCAACCATCGTTATTATTATTATTATTATTATCATTATTAACTCACGTAAAAAGTTTTTTTTTTTTTTTATTCGAAAAAAAAAGGAAGTTTAAAGGATTTATTAAAAAAAAAAAGGGGGGGGGAAAAAAGGAAAAAAAGGAAAAAAAATCTTTTTAAGCCACAAAGGAGGAGCAATTTCTTTTTTTGATTAAAGAAAACGGTAAAACCTGGATAAATGAGATGACGTCATAAAGAAAATTCCATTCTCTCTCTTTTTAAATCTTTTCTTAAAAAGTCAACAAACTTATATACTTGATAAAAAAAAAAAAATCGTCGTCCCTTCTTTTTTCCTATTTTATTATGTGTGAACCTTTTTCTTTTTCTCTCTCTCTCTCTTGTTTATTATCGACGGAAAAAACATTTTTTTTTTTCTTGCCGCCGGAAAAATACTCGAACGATTGTAGAAGACAAAGTAAATTTTAAAAATGGCGGCTTTTTAAATTTAAATTTAAATTTTTTCTTTGTTATAATCTTGACCGAATTAAACGATGAACCAGAGGGCATAAACGAACGAATTAAAAATATTTCACGTTATCACAAATCGCCTAAATGATAATATGACAATAACCTTTTTATACATTTTCCCATCCACTATTATTATTATTATTTACTAACCCCCCTCCCCCCGTGTAAGTGTGTAATAAACGTTAAAAAAAAAAATAATAAAAAAATTGGGAGGGTTGTTGTGATAGAAACACAAAACAATCTTCAACACACGAAAATGGTATTAACGTCGTGCAATCACATTTATTATTATTATTATTATTATTATCATCATCATAACATATCGAACGTGATAACAAATAAGACGATTATTTAACGAGAAAAATAATAAATCTACGTAGTAGTTTTTTTATATATATTTGTGTGTTGACCCCCCCACATTCGACATTTTACGTTTTATATTCCGTCATTTAAATTACGAGTAAAATCATTATTATTATCATCATCTTCCTAAGAAGAAATTACACTGTATTAACAATACGGAGAAAGATAGAAAAGAGAAGTCACGATCGTAATAATAATAATAATAATAATAATATAGTTTTTTACACGTGGTATCGAGTTTCAAATCGTGTTATATACACAAATGATTCGTTTTTTTTTTTTTCCTTCTTCAAAAAATTATTATTATTATTAGTATTATTATTATTATCAACGTTAGGTATCGAACCTTTCATTATACGATTATTCGTGTAATTTATTTTATTATTACCAACAACGAAAAAAAAAAAAAAAGAAAAGAAATTTATTTCTATGTATTAAGTTAATTTTTATAACTTTAATGGAAAAATCATGTTAAGAAAAGAAAAAAAAAATTTTTTTTTTCTTTTTCTTTTTTCCGTTAAGCACCTGAAATTTTTACTACGTTAAAGTTTTTTTTTTAAATTATGAGTAAATTAATAAATTTAATAATAATAATAATAATAGTAAACTTTCAAAGGAGTAGTGATGAGGGAGAGATGGGGAGAGAGATAGAAAAAAATTTTTTTTTTTATATTAAAAAAGTTTTTATAACGGATGAAAATAAATAAGAACATAATAGTTTTAACATAAAATTAATTTATCTGGGTAGAAAAAGGAATTGGGGGGAGAGGGAGGATGGCGGTTGCGGTGGGGGTGGTAGTGGTAATGATGGAAAAATAAGAAGAAAATCTGTTAAAAATTTTCTTACACTTTTTTTTTTTTTTAAACTAAATGATTTAAAAGAAAAACTTTTTTTTTCCTTTTTTTTTTTTTAATAAAATGTTTTGACATGATTTTTCATCGTTTGTTGTTTGTTGTTGTTAAACATAATTTTGTTTAAATTAACAAAACGAACATAATCTATTTTGATGCTAAACTTATTTATTATGGAATTAAAACAAACAAGTGGCGCGTAAGTATTAAACAACGTCGGTTAATAACTTGACATCCAGTTTGAATAAAATAGCGTTTGGTGTTATAATAAATATTTAAAAAAAAAAAAAATGGTTGAAAAGGTTTTATCATTATTATTATTATTATTAGGTTTAACATGTCATCAAATTTACGGGCATTCTTATCATTTTGGAATTTGTCCCTCGGTTAAACCAATGGAAAATTTCGATATGAAACAAGTAAGTAAAAAACCTTTTTTTTTTTTCCGAATCGTTTTTTAATAAAGGATTTGATTTTTATCATATAAAATCCCTTCTGGAAATTTCTAGAAAAAATAAAAAAAACTCTCACAGATCAATGAAAAATGGGGGGAATCCCCATTGTTTTTTTTTTTTGTTTTCGGATCGGATAAAAATTTACTGTCGTGTTTACACATTAATTTTTTTTCGTTTTAATTCGTTATCAATGTCAGTTTTTACGCTTTGAAAATCAAAATTAGTATGACCTTTAACCCCGAAAATATTTTTAACATTGGCCGTTTGTTACATTATTAAAAACAATATTATTTTAATTTTTTTTTCAAAGTTAATTTGATTGAAAAATTAAGTTAATTGAATTTTTTATTTTTTTTGAGTTACATTTACATAATTACAACTAATAAATAATTAAAATATGTAAAAAAAAGGAAAAAAAGACGTGGAATTAATATTTCAATATTTAAATTAAAAATCAAAGTAATTCGAATTAATTTACCGCGTTTTTTTTTTTTTTTTAAATCGTAACGTTTTCTTTTTAGCTTTAGAATTATATTTTTTTTTTTTTTTAAAGTTTTTAGGTAAATGGTACGTAATTGAAAAAACATCGACAGCAAGTTCCTGCATAACAAATAAATATTCCGTTAACGAAAATGTCGACGGACATTTTGTTCTGGAACAGGAAAGCGAAAATCCATTATTAGGATTTGCTAAAAAAAATCATAAATATCATTATACGGGAGATTTAACTTATGAAAATGATCCGGCTGCCATGACGGTTAAATTTAAAATGAGTAAGTTTACATTCTTAACCGAAAATTATTTTCTGAACCTTATCCTCTGAACAATTCTAGAATTATTGTAAAGGAAAAAAAGAAAATCATCGAATCATTTTTTCTACCTATCATTAAATTTTATCCTCGTAATTATTAACAATAAAAAAAAATTTTTCTATGTCATTCCTATCATTATCATTATTATTATTATCCACCATTAAACACGACAAGGCTACTTGTCGGAGTTTTTAAGTATTATCCGAG